GATGGATGGATGGATGGATGGATGGATGGATGGATGGATGGATGGATGGATGGATGGATGGATGGATGGATGGATGGATGGATGGATGGATGGATGGATGGATGGATGGATGGATGGATGGATAGATAGAAAGTCTGTTGTACTTTGTGCTGCGGAGGTTTTTTTTTAACAAAAAGTCTTTCGTCCGTTTGAAGCCAAAAATACGGTTGATTACGCGTAAACAGTAGGGCATATGTTCTAACATATTCTCAACTCAGTATTTCATTTCTACCCATTGATAGGTTGATCCATAGGAGAATGGAATGAGATCAAGCAAACAGTAACATTTTATCAATGAATATACTATTTTACTATTTTACTTTTGTGACCATGGGTAGTGAATACTTTTTTCTATATTTATATTAATTTTTTTTTTTTTTCCGTTGAGTATTAAAAAAGCCAAATTATTTGAGAAGAACATGTTCAAGGAGTGACAGCGTGTCGGCAACGCGTAGCCCTTACAATGGGGAAACGAAAACAAGCTTGTTTTCTTGACCTACATTAAGAACCTGTTTCTTTACTTCCATATTTTGCACTAAATAGCTGATGTTTTCAAAGGGAGGCAACGATAAAAAAAGAGAAAACAAAAATTTAAAATTGGCAGTATTCTCCCCTTTAATGATGTTTCCTAATTCATTCTTTTTAAAGATAAAAATTTAAAATGATTGGATAAAATAAATCGGACTTTTCATATATTAAACGAGCAAAGCTTGATTTTTCTTTTATAATATGAAACTTTCCCTACTGAGATATATATATATATATATATATATATATATAAATATATATATTTGTATATATATATATAACCTCAAGTTGGTGGTCTGGTGTTCAATTCCAGCAATCAAGCTCCTCTATTTCACTCATAAAGAAACAGCTCCTAATTAATATTTTGTTGAGACTCCTTCCCCTTTACACCAGACTTTGAAAACTATTTCAAATTATAATAATAATAATGATAGTAATAATAATAAAACAACTTTGTGGTCACATTCCAGTCTGAGTCCAGCATTGCTGATTATGCTTTATAGTCATTGATGTAAGGCGAGCAAAATAGACTGAATAAATTATAATAAATATTTCTACTAACTGATTTGCCAATTTTTACGATAAAAACATGTATTAAAATCACAGCTATATCACCACTCCAATCCCTGGGCACAAAATTTCAACCCAGTCCCTGGCCACAAAAGTTCAACCCCAGTCCCTGGCCACAAAAGTTCAATTCCAATCCCTGGCCACAAAAGTTCAACCCCAGTCCCTGGCCACAAAAGTTCAACCCCAGTCCCTGGGCACAAAATTTCAACCCCAGTCCCTGGCCACAAAAGTTCAACCCCAGTCCCTGGCCACAAAAGTTCAACTCCAATCCCTTGTCACAAAAGTTCAACTACAATCCCTGGCCACAAAAGTTCAATTCCAATCCTTGGCCACAAAAGTTCAATTCCAATCCTTGGCCACAACAGTTCAACTACAATCCCTGGCCACAAAAGTTCAACTACAATCCCTGGCCACAAAAGTTCAATTCCAATCCTTGGCCACAAAAGTTCAACCCCAGTCCCTGGCCACAAAAGTTCAACTCCAATCCCTTGTCACAAAAGTTCAACTACAATCCCTGGCCACAAAAGTTCAATTCCAATCCTTGGCCACAAAAGTTCAACCCCAGTCCCTGGCCACAAAAGTTCAACCCCAGTCCCTGGGCACAAAATTTCAACCCCAGTCCCTGGCCACAAAAGTTCAACCCCAGTCCCTGGCCACAAAAGTTCAACTCCAATCCCTTGTCACAAAAGTTCAACTACAATCCTTGGCCACAAAAGTTCAACTACAATCCCTGGCCACAAAAGTTCAACTCCAATCCCTTGTCACAAAAGTTTAACTAAAATCCCTTGCCACAAAAAGTTAAACTCCACTCCTGGCCACACAACTTCAACTCCACGCAACTGACAGATTAGACTGACATATCAGCCTGACATCAGCACAAACTGATGGCCCAACGTAACTTGTTGCCTAGCTGAGGTTAGTGGCGTCTAGTCCAGGTTAAAGGTGAGGAAGTTAATTATGATAATGCCTGACCCGTACGTGCCGCCCTGTAATTACTTTACACACAGGGTTCGGCTAGACACATAACGGAGCTAATGTAGGTTAGCGCTCCGGGTCGCGAGGAATGGTGTGGGGGAAGCATGACAACGCCCCTGATACAGAGATAATATTGAATTAATTACATTTTCTGACTCGAGACTTTTGGTATCATAAGCAGATCTTTGACAAGACCAAACTTCTAGGCTTTTTTTATAATTTTTTTAAACAGGCAGTTTAAAAAACAACTCTCTCTCTCTCTATAGATAATTTAACTTTTTTTTAAATTAAAAAAAAATACAAAAAAAAAAAAACAACATTTATCATAATATACAGAAAAATGGAACAGGAGAAAAAGTACAATTTTTTAGGAAAGTGAAATTGACTTGCGTTAACTTCACGTTTTTTAGTTTCTTCCCATTAGCTACCCCTCTGGCAGTGATAAAATATTATTGTCATGTTAATTTGTCTGCGGGGCATATTACATTTCTATATTTTCAGTTGTCAGAGTTATATATAACTTTTCGATTTGCTCAGGTGTCAGTGGGACATCATACTAAGAACATCATTGACAGAGCAGCATACATTCAACCGTGCCGCCTCCCCTCCTCCCCCACCTTATTAAGACACTTACTCGACCACAGTGGCGTAGCTAGGGGAGGGGGAGGGGAGTCCAAATTCGAAAGTCTCCAGGACCCCTACTTGAGGGGGCCCCCCAAAGGCGTGTCCGAATTTTTTTTTTTTACATTAAATAATGTCGAATGTCAAAATGCAGGGGCCCCTAAAGAGGCCAAGCCCCCGGGCCCCCAAATCCCCCCCCCCAAAATCCCTAGCTACGCCACTGCTCGACCACCATAATATTTCCAACATTTCATTAAGGGCGGTGTACAACGATTATCTTATATTTATTTATATCATAGAGTATTCATAAGATGTTGTAATTATTTTTTTTAAAGCCAAAGTAAATAGATATTTAAAATAGCTGAAAAGCGTCTCCCCAAATCCAGTTTACATGTGTTGAATGTTCTTGTTTCATTTTGTATTCACTCCCTTTTTATTTAAAAAAATCTCCTCTTTCACTTAATACTTTAATTTTTCTACTAAATTCATTTGCAGCGTAAACATACTTTAGCCAAATGTCCAGATTTTTGGATATTGAGCAAATTAGGACTACGATACTGAAAGCCGAAATAGTTTCTGTTATTTGCTGCAAGTATCTGTGCACGCAGGCCTGCAGGCATGGGTGCCCGCAGGTAGGGGCAAGGTGGGGCATTGCCCCCCCCCCTCCCTGGATTCATTGGATAAAAATTTTTTAGACAAAAATAGACAAAAAGTTTATTATAGTAAAGAGAAAATAAAGAGAAAGTAACTAAGCTGATGTCCTGTCCGTTCGTTCACCATACAAATACGCCAGAGTAAATTAAAACTACATTAAAACATTACTAAAAAATTTTTGAACAACCACCCCACATCTTCTTTTGCACTACATCACTTCCCTAGAAGTTTTCTGCAGGCGCCCATGCCTGTAGGCACAAACAAGGGAGGATGACCTGTGCCAGATTTTCGTCGCTTGCAAGCCAAGCGTTATGTTTCACCGGAAGCAAAACGTACAAGCTCACTTACTGGAACTGTCGAGCACATCCAAATGTTCTCGTACTTTTTAGAACTTTCTATTTTTAAAGAAATACCAAAATAATATAAATTCGTTATTGAATGAATACTTTATATTATATTGCATACGCGTGTTCTGACTGCAATTGGTCATTTTTATTAATCCAAATGTTTCACTGCTGTGTGTTGCCGTTACCTTTCCACTCAAATGAATCCATTTCAAACAACGTTTTTAAAAAAAAAAAACTGAAACAAGTAATAGAAAGAATTGTACAATTTTTAATATCTAAGAATATGCTAACAAGTTACACCTTGTTCGTAGAACACGCTTGTGATGTTTCCTTTGTACATCAGAGTTTCATTGCAACCTCCGTTCTCGTTCTTTCTCGTCACAAACGGATGCAAGGAATGTAACAAAGAGCACTGAACAGTAAGCCCTTTTATAGTTTTTTCCTTTGAATGGTTATAGGCATTAGACGCGCACTCGTCTAGGTTGTACGTCTTGCTAATCACAGCCCTGGTGTCACGAGGGGCCAGCAAAGACACGTTCTCAAACGGTCGTCTCCGTAGGGGAAATATCATCGACTTCGGATAACAGAACTTCTTTCTGAAGTGAGGGCACGTGTCCCATATGTGCGTGGCGTTCTCTCCGTAGAAAAAGATATCTATAAACGGATAACTCCAAGCGTACGGTGGAATGCGATTACCGCGCGTCGGGAACAACTTCCCGAAACATTTGGGTTCAAAGTTCAAGACGTAGTCTTTGGAGACATTGGAGAAAATTTGTTTGAGACGCCCTTGGAGGTTCTCTGGTACAATGACATCGAGATCATCATCCCAGGGAACCATGCCATGATGTCTGTAGGAACCAATCAATGTCCCGCCGTAGATGAAGTAGGTCCCATTGTGCTCGGTCATTAACTTATCAAATAGTGTGATAAGTTGCATTAAACCACCTTTTTCAGTATTGTTCGTGAAAAATACTTTCATGTGTTGAGGGAGTGATGTGGTTGTTCGATCTGGAGACAAGGTTCTTCCGGTCTGGCTATTCGAATATTTCAGATTTTTAAAACTTCGTTGCAATAATTTGACAATTGAGGACTTTAGCTGATTTATCTTACTGCTGTTTAACCCTTTGGTTTGAAGAGTGCTGATGTTAACGCTGGCATCGTTGAACTTCATTTCCCCTCTGACTGCATCTGTTAAATTGGGAACTGTGATCAAGCGATTGTCAGATGGAAACTCTGACAGGCTTGAGGAAACGAGGCCATCCATGACGACATTACTAACGGTGTATCCATACGCCTCCCCCATGAGGTAAAGAAGGATGAGCGTAGTAACAAGTAGGGCCACAAAGACAGTTCTCTTGTTCAGAAGTTCTTTTCTTTTCTTTGGTATATTGAGTAAAAGAATCATGCTGTGTGCCTCTTAGGTCAAGGCATCACAGAAGACACCTGCAAAAATGAGTTAAATAAGTAAAACATTTCTTTAAAAGAATAGTGTCGTGTAACTCATGGAAACTTCGCGCTCCTAATATATTTTAGGAGATATAAAACACAGGTCGTGGAGATCACAACAGAAAAATTCTAAATACAAAGACACGATACTGAAATAAGAGTTATACATTTGATCTTTCCTATAATTTTAGTTAAACTTTGGTTAAAAAAAATTCTAGCTTAAGTGATCAGTACCGATTACGATATTACAATTTTAATGTGACTTTGACCTGGAGTCAGAGCTTGAGACTTGTCTCTTGGTGGGGTCAGGAAATATGAGGAAAGCATGACGTGGGGAACAGTCAGTTGTATGATAATTTGCTACCTATACTTTATGTGTAAATGTGGGAGTTTTTCTTGGAGAATATATACGTCTGTGTGGACATGGGTGTGTGCGCGAGAGAGATAGGAGAGAAAGAGAGGGACAGAGAGTGTGAGAGTAAGAGAGAGAGAGAGAGAGAGAGAGAGAGAGAGAGAGAGAGAGAGAGAGAGAGAGAGAGTTGGAGAAAAATTCCCCGAAGTGCGTGAGATTTTACAAATTTATTATTTTTCGGAACACAATATTGTTAATGTTACACAATAAAAATTTTACTGACATTCTAATTTGGAAAAGGAAGGAAATAACTGAGAGGCCTTGTATTGAAATACAGTTATGTCAAATCTAATCTCTTCGTATTTTTTATGATAAGTTTTACTGATNTAAAATACACTATTTTCACCATACGTTTTTGTCAAGACATATCATATATGAATGAAAGAAATCTCCGAAAATAGTTTATCCTCGAACTCAAACTTTCAATGAATCCAAGACATTTTAAAACAGCGGGTTTTTTTTTTAAATAGGCATCTCAACAGCTATTGTCAGCGTGTATCTGGCCAGCCTGGGCCATCGCCAGCAGCTGTGTAAGTTCAATACCAACTGCCTCCATGCATTATTGGAAAGATTTCATTAGCATCCAGCGCACGTACCCTTCTTTTTAGATATAAATTATCCGATCATGCCCCCACCCCACCTCCCCCCCCCGGGCACCCCCACCCCCGGCCCTTAAAAGAGCGTGATATCTTATCTTGAGTCTGATAAATTTATACACTATGAAACGTAAAGGCAAATTAAATTGCGTACTGAAGCAAAGTAGGGGGACAAGAAACAGATCGATATGGGGAGGTAATGAGTTTCAACAACATATTCGAGGTCTTTTGATCTATGAATGTATAACGGGACAAGTAATAATGAGGGCTGTATCATTCCCTTCTTTTTCCTCTTCTCTCTCTCTCTCTCTCTCTCTCCCCCGTCTCTCTCTCTTTCGTTCTCTCTCGCTCTCCCCTCTCTTTCCTCTCCCTCTTTCTCGTTCTTTTTCTTACATCTCCCCCCTTCTATTTCTCACTATCTCTTTCTGCTCTCTCTGCTCTCTCTCGCTATGCTCTCTCCTTCTGCTCTCTCTGCTCTATCTACTCTCTCTCTGCTCTCTGCTCTGCTCTCTCTCTGCTCTCTCTCTTCCCTCTCTCTTCCCTCTCTCTCTGATCTCTATCTCTTGTCCCTCTCTCTGCTCTCTCTGCTCTCTCTCTCTGCTCTCTATCTATGCTCTTTCGCTGCTCTCTCTCTCCCTGCTCTCTGTTGCTCTTTCTCTCTCTCTCTCTCTCTTTCATTATCTATTCAAATCTTTTATTTACAATATCTGTTACACTGGGTAACGAATGACTAGATGGTTCATTGTATTCATCAGGGGCAGTTAATTGACAAATACATGTAAAATGAATGTAAACCGGTAGATACAATGGAGTCGTGTAGGGAAGCGTCTTCTCTCACAATTTACGGAGTTTAAGATTTTTAATTTTTAATTTTGGTCGATTTATTGCTGTTTTCTATCTAAAAATTAAAGTTAAAGCATAATTATTTTTAAAAATTCGGAAAAGAAAATATTGTCTGGTGAAGAAATCACCAAAGCCATGATAGGTTAAATCATGCATTGATAAGTTAAAATCATGGCTTTGTTAGGTTAAATCATGGCTTTGATAGGTTAAATCATGGCTTTGATAGGTTAAATTATGGTTTTGATGGGTTAGATTATAGCTTTGAGAGGTTAAATCAAGGCTCTGACAGGTTAGATCATGGCTTTGATAGGTTAAATTATGGCTTTGACAGGTTAAATCAAGGCTTTGACAGGTTAAAACATGGCTTGGATAGGTGTAATCAAGGCTTTGACAGGTTAAATCAAGGCTTTGACATGTTAAATCATGGCTTTGATAGGTTAAATCATGACTTTGATAGGTCAAAACATGATTTCTTCTTCTTCTATATCTTAAGGGCCCACGATCAATTTATTGATCATTTTGGCTCCTATGCATGTAGATGGGATTTGCAATGTTTCTGTTACTGGTGGTGATGAGGAAATTATGCACTAGGGGTTTGAAGGCTTGAGGCAATAGATACAAATGTGTCTAGTGTTGTCGCCTCAACTGTTCCTTTTGAAAGATGGTTCCAGTCCCTGATTGTCTTGGGCAGGAATGAGCAGCTCCTATACTGGCTTCTTGCTGGTATGAGCCTGAATTGCCTGTCATGGCCTCGTCGCTGTCTATGGGGGAGAGGGACGAGTTTCTGTTTAATACTGGAACAGTGGACCAGCCCATTATTTATCTTGTACATCATGGAGAGCCTGGATTGTCGTCGTCGTTTCTCCAATGGTGACCAGCCTAGTGTTTCTAGCATGCTGCCAACACTAGAGGTATTCCTGTAGCGGTTTAGGACAAAGCGTGCTGCTCGTCGCTGGACCGCCTCCAACCTGTCAATGCTCTTCTGGGTAAATGGGTCCCAGACTGAAGATGCATAATCTAAAATCGGACGGATAAAGGCTTTATATGCTCTTTCTTTCACACAGGAGTTGCCAATCTTTAGATTTCGCCTTAAGAACCCCAAGGCTTGGTTTGTTTGGTTACATACATTGTTAATATGCTCGTCCCAGCGGACCTCTCTTTGAATGGTAACACCCAGGTACTTTATGTGGTACATCAATGTTCTAATGGGATATATCAATGTTCTAATGGGTTACATCAATGCTCTGATGGGAACAGTCAGTGTTCTCATGAGTGAATCAATGTTTTGATGGAATATGTTAATGTTCTGATGGAATACATCAATATTCTGATGAGATGTCGAATGCTTTGATGGGGTAGTTAGATGCTTTGATGGGGCAAAACAATTCTCTGACGCGGTAAATCAATTCTCTGACGTGGAAAATCAATTCTCTGACTGGGCAAATCAAATCTGACCGGGCAAATCAATTCTCTGATGTCTGACGGGGAAAATCAATTGTCTGATAGGGCAATTAAATTATCTGATAGTGCAAATCAATTCATTGATGTGGCAAATCAATTCTCTGAATCTGATGGGGTAAATTAATTCTCTGATGGGTTAAATGAATTATCTGATAGGGCAAATCAAATTTCTGACGGGGCAAATCAGTACTGTGATTGTGCGAATAAATGCTATATTGAGGTAAATAATTGCTCTGATTTAGTGACTCAGTGCTCTTATGGTGTTTGACCAAGTGATCGTAAATGCGTTATTCGAAATTAGTATACAACATTTTCAAGTAGTACTGTACCGTAAGTGACATTATTTAATCTCTTCACTAGTTTCATTTACTAGCTAAACACAATCTATGTGTTTAATTAATCAATAAAAAAACAGCTAGTAACGGCAATTAGCAACCAGTACCGGTAACATCTGGTAACAGTAACAGCAACTAACAGCTGGTAACAGCTGGTAACACCGACTAACAGCAACTAACAGCTAGTAACACCTGGTAACACTTAAGATGATAAAAAGTAGAGCAAAAACAAAACAAAGCTAGAGCAAATAAATTGTTCTATTTAATCAAACGCATTAAACAATGGGCTCGAGATTAAATCCTTACGTCACAACGCCATTTAGTCTAACAAAATTGATTTTAATACCATATACAAGCACTGGTTGAATCGGTTATACCAACACGCAGCTCTAATCAAAATATAAGCTTTAATACACAGAGACAACGAGACTTCAACAACACAAATACACAGAGACTACAACAACACCAATACACAGAGACTACAACAACACAAATACACAGAGACTTCAACAACACAAATATACAGAACCCACAACAACACAAATATACAAAACATACAACAAAACCAATACACAGAGACTACAACAACACAGATACACAGAGACTACAAAAACACAAATACACAGAGACTACAACAACACCAATACACAGAGACTACAACAACACCAATACACAGAGACTACAGCAACACAAATAAACAGTGACTTCAACAACACCAATACACAGAGACTTCAACAACACAAATATACAGAACCACAACAACACAAATACACAAAACCTACAACAACACAAATACACAGAGACTACAACAACACAAATACACAGAGACTACAACAACACCAATACACAGAGACTACAACAACACAAATACACAGAGACTACAACAACACAAATACACAGAGACTACAACAACACCAATACACAGAGACTACAACAACACAAATAAATATAGACTACAACAACACAAATACCTAGAGACGCTAGCAACTTACTCCCCAGTCAAAGAAAACCTTTGTTATGTTTCCTTGGTCCACCAGAGTTTCATTGCAACCTCCATTCATGTAAGTCCTTCTCACAAAGGGGTGCACGGAGTCTAACCTGGAGCAGGGGATTTTGGTGTAACGTACGAATTTCTCCAAACTGTGGCAGAAATAGTTTGACTGACAGACGTCTATCCTGTATGTCTGGGCGATGACCGCCCTCGCATCACGAGGAGCCAGCAAGGACAGGTTCAGGAAAGGTCTTCTGCGCAGAGGGAACACCACGGACTTGGCGTAAGTAAAGTATTTCTTATAATCGGGGCACGCGTCCCAAATGTGGGTCTCATTGTCTTGGTAGAAGAATATGTCCAGGAACGGGAACCTCCACGGGCGCTCGTCGATCGAATCCCAGTGTGGCGAGAACAGCTTCCAGTAGCAGGCGAAGTCAAAGTAAAGGACGTAGTCCGCTGGGGAGATTTTAGCCAATACTTTCCACGTCAGGTTCCTCAGAGAATCGGGCACGATGACGTCGAGGTCGTCGTCCCAGGGAACGAATCCGTGGTGCCTGTAGGAGCCCAGCAGCGTTCCGCCGTAGAGGAAGTACGTCAGGCCGTTTTCGGTCATGACTCTATCGAAGACCTCCATCAGCTCGTAGAAACGGTCGTCGTGTCCCTTTCTTTGGAAATAAGATAAGTTGTACGTTCGGGGGTCTGGATCACTTGCGTTTAGGTCGGAGGTATCATTGCTGTGTAGGTCGTATAGAGCACGGCTGTCCAGGTCAGAGAGTGGACTTGCGCGCGGTGTCTTGTGGTCACTGGTTATGATGAAGGTGAACAGAGAGAGCGAAATGACGGTGAAAACCAGTGCGACAAAGAAGACCAGCTTGAGGAGCCGTGTTGTTGCCTTTAAAATTTCAACTGTTATGATCATCTTTTGGTTGGCTGATTATCTAGTCCGGGAAAAAATAAAATAAATATAGTTCATTTGAAATAAGAAGACTTAATATATTATAATAGTGACCAAGCATTACCTCTAGTGTTTATCAACTATGTAAAGCTCAATGTGACTATGTTTGTAAATGGGGTCCATCAATCACCAGAAAACCAAATTTGACATGTTCATTCATTCCTCCTGACCTATAGAAGGTTCCTGGAAAGCTTGCTCATAATCCCTTAATCCCAAAAGATGCTTTTAAAAAAAAAAAGTTAAAATATAGAGGGTAGAGAGAATTATTTTAAATGGCTTTGAGGGACTTTCATGTAAAGTTCCATTTGGTGCACGCATTTATAATAAAAGTTTATTGGTTTGGTTGGTTTCCAAAATTTATTTTAAATAAATGGAATGGTTGAATCTCTTTGCGTTTTCAACTGAATCAAAGCAATACAAATTGATTACTTTTGGCGTCGAGGGCCTACTAGTTAAAAAAAAAATGAAAAGCAACAACTTTGAAAAATTTTTTTCAGATTGTAATGGGCTGGGATACATATTAACAATCAACATGAACATTTTTATGAATGTTATTTACAGTACCCCATGTTAGTGGAACTTAAAAAAATAATCCCATTTGGAATGGGGATCCTATTTATTTTGTTGATAGACCATATATTTGATATTGATGAATACATGTAAAAAAAAAAAAAGACACCCTTTTAAAGTTGGATTTGTCTTTAAATCGTCGTTCTTGGCTGTGCTCAGCTTCAGCATCAACTGAAACAGGATTGCCCCCCCCCCCCCCCCCCNCCCCCCCCCCCCCCCCAATTCAACGTTTAAAAGAGTGGTTAAAAATTTTGGGGTTTTTAAAAGAGAATTTAAAAAAAGGAAAAAATAACTGTTACTTTAGTGAAATGCTTAAGACAGGGCTGTTTATTTACGTGTACGCTGATAATGCTTTTGAAGTTGTTGTTTTTTTCTTTCCGCATACACACCTTAGAAAAGCGGGGTATGTTAGCTAGTTGAAGCTACACATCCACTTATACAAAGTCAATAATAGAAAATATTATTTTTTTTAAAAATGTTTCTTTCAATGCCACGGCAATAATCGGCATCTCTCCCCCATTAAACAGCTTTAATTTAAACCATCTAAGATAAATTGTATAAGACTTTTACATTCTAACCTGCTCACTATCTTGTTGAATGATGATGATTAGTTATTAATTCAATGTTTTTCTGCATGTACACGCTACAAATCCGCAAACAAAATAGCTTAACAAAGTAGTTCCGTTTTCTATTAGTTATTCCGTTTTCTATTATTAACCTTTGACGTATAGGTGGTGCGCAAACAACAACAACAACAAAAAAAAAAAAAAAAAAAAACAAAAAGAAAATAAAACAAAACAATAGCTTAACAAAGTAGTTCCGTTTTCTATTAGTTATTCCGTTTTCTATTATTAACCTTTGACGTATAGGTGGTGCGCAAACAACAACAAAAACAAAAAAAAAAAAAAAAAAAAAACCAACAGGAAATTAAACGAATCCGATTTCATAGATTTTAACTTTCCCGGTATCACGCGCATTCATGGTCACTTAATTATAAATAAACTCTGCACACCACTACTTATGTCTGTTAAATAACAGTTTGCGGTAAAATATTGGAGGGGTTATTCACAGTCGGTCGGGAGTAATAATTGCTAGTGGTAGTAAACCATTTATTGGCCACTACGTTAAACATTCCACTGATTTTAAGAATTAAAGAAATTATTTATATATATATAATATTAATAATAACCAACAAAATAGTGGCTTCACAAATTCAACTTTTATGACCTCTGACCACCCGGATCCACTAGCGTAGCTAGGGGGTGCGGGGGTGTGTTGTGCACCGTGTGACACCATCTAGAAGGGGGGGGGTGGCACTAAATTGAAAAAAATGCATATTTACAGAGAACTCAATGCTCGGTCTAAACGAATTTCATAAAAGAATAACCGATCACAAAGTACATTTTCCACACATGTAACCAATCCAAATGCGTGCTTTATTTAAATTTCAAGGTTGATGCGTCAGAAATGAGGTGACCCTATAACTATGGCAGAAAAACACGGTGTTGACCTTGATTCAACGCAGATTGAAGTGGTCGGTAACTTTCGTAAGTGACAGGAAGCTACATTCATCTCAACTCTGAGAAATTAAGCTTTCCATCGGTACCAAATACGATGTGGTAGGGCGATTCACAGTACATGTAACAGTTGCAGTTCTTAGAGACATCTACCTCCAATTAATATGTTTTTGTTCTCGTCATTGCTATAACTTGAACTTATTATCATAAGAAGAAATCCATCGCGGAAGTCTGTTTTTTTTTTTTTTTTTTTTTTTTTTTTGGGGGGGGGGAGGGGGCAGGGGGAGGTTGGTGCCGACACCACGAGTTTACCACTCCAGGTGACACCAACCATGACTACGTCACTGCCCGAATGTCTTATAAGATAAGATACAATTATTTTTTATTGATCCAAATAAATGGAAATGCTTTGTGATGACAAAGTACAAAGTCATTTTCGGCCAATACATAAATATTTAAAAAAGACAAACATTTTTGTAAACTATAACAATTTAACACAAATTTAAAAGTATTTCCCAAATGCAAAGAGAGCACGTTTGTAAATTTGTATAGATTGGTGAACAAATTTATTATGAATTAAATCTTTAGGTCGTTACTTTGAGGGAATGAATTCACCCTGATCGAATCGATACAGCAAGGGGTCATATACCTATTATGTGTCACACATATAAATGACGTTTTGCTACCCCCACCCCCTATAACGTTATATAGCATTTCCATAATATCTCCAATATTATATAACATTTCTTACAACCCCCCCCCCCAACCCCACTCACACAATAAAACATTTGTACTACACACATTTTTTTTTGGAGCATTTTTTAAAATATAACAACACTTACTGTAAAACACATGTTTTTGATACACACAGTCCTGCGAGACTTCAGGAAAGTGATGTAAAGACTAGAACCATTAAAGTACAATTAAAACGAAACGAAATAAGCCGGTTTTGAATTTGCACATTTTTGAAGTAAAAAAAAAACAATTTAGTTTTTCATAATCTAGATCTAGGCTAATTTTGTGAATTTGAAAAGCAGTAATATCAGTAAAAATAATAATTGATGAAAAAAAAAGAACAAATAACAAGAACTGCTCCTTAACATTGCCCTCTACCTTTTTTGTTGTCCGTTCGTCGAAGTCGACTAGGACCATCGAGTCATCCGGTTAGGTGGAGGGTGGGCTACGATGAGCTCGTAGGTGGCTTGCTAGACCGATCCGTGCTCGAAATAATCTCTGGCACCGCGGGCAGGGGATAGTAGCTTCAGACGGTGACCTAATGTTGCTCTTTCGGACAAGCCTGCATGTCTCAGCTGTGGTTATCCTATTAGCTTCATGGGATTTAGCCCCCTTTTGACAGCTGCTCTCCACCTGGCTCTGTCCTGGGCTGTCTGCACCCATTGAGTAGGGTTGATGCTCACTTTCAGTGAGTCTTTATAAAGCTTTTTTTTTTACCTCCTTGGGAGCGCTTGCCTGACGTGAGTTCTCCGAAGAATATTTGTTTCGGGAGCCGGTTTTCTTCCATACGGGCTACGTGTCCCATCCAACGGAGCTGAGACTGCACCAGGGTGGTAAAGATACTAGGTAGGTTCGCTCTAGTGAGGACCTCTGTGACAGGGACTTTGTCTTGCCACCTAATGCCGAGGAATTTCCAGAGGCAGGTTGTGTGAAAATGATTCAGTTTCTTGGCGTGACGCTGGTAGATTGTCCACTTTTGACATCCTAGAGCAATGTCGAGAGGACTGCTGTGCTAGGGACCTTGATCTTCGTTTCTTGTCTGATATCTCTCTTGTCCGAAACAGTGCTGCGGAGCCTGCCAAATATGGCCTTCTACCACCCAACCACACATAGCACATCATAACAAAATTATTAAAGACCCCCTAAACCCTGTTTAGACCCGCTGGTCCTCACCTTTGTGAGACTCGCTGGCTCCACTCTCTCCACCGCTTCACCATGCGTTTTTCGCTACCCCACGCGAAATGACACAATTAGGCTGGGCCTTAAAATAATAAAAGTAGACTCAAATAACAATGGAAATCAGCCTGGTAACCTTGACCGGGACCCAGCTTTAAACAATGCACTCATCCTGCTCAAGTTGTCACGCTGAGTACCAAAGCCACGCTGAGTACCCACGCGACTCATGTGAGTCATGTAAAACGCGACGCTTGAATGCGGGACAAGCACGTCAAATTTAGAGCATATATTGAAAGACCAAATCATGTATTGGCCTCTCTCACCTGAAGTATGTCGGTAGAGCCTGGCTGGCATAATTAGTTGATGAAGTGTGTTTATCCTAATTGTGTTGGTATAGTATTGTAAACCTTCATATTCATGTGTACTGGTATGTAAAATCGCAGTTGTAATGTTATTAAAAAAAATGTTAGAACTATAATTACTGTTATGATTGAATATTAATAATGTGATGTGATTTTAATTGTCTACCTATGTCTTATGCATTGTATTTGTTATTCTCAGAATAACGTTGACCTCCAACTAAAAAAAAATAAATGTAGGTTAGGCCTACTACTGCTACTACTACAAGAATAGTCTGAATAGCAGCGACTCCACCAGAGAGAGAGACCTGTTACGTCACAGTGACCTGTGAGTGAAGAAAAATCA